AGGTTCTCTTACTGAATGTTTTTTGTCCATAGATCTTCAGCATCCTTCCTCCTTTTGACAGACAGGCTGTGAAATTTGACAATAATTGACAGTAAAGCTACATTTTAACATCCTTTTAACAGCTGCAGTAAAAAAAAAAAAAGCTAAAGCTGTAACAGAGGGTGACCTGCTGTACATAGTTGCAGCCAGTTCAATCAGACCCAGCAGGGACTCTCTGAGCTCTATGCGGATTTTATGTGTGATGAATTCCAGCCGAGAACCTGTTTGACAAAAAAAGGGGAATAAAGTTAGCTGAGTAACTGTCCGTGTGCTGCCCCCCTCGTGCCTTCTGACTGACAGGCCTCCTGCTTGTGCCACTCGTGTGGCCATAAATCGCCTGCCAGCAGCAGAACACAGTGTCTGCACATCTATTTTTATGTGCACTTGTCTGGCCACACAAGATGCTGCCAACCTTCGTTACTCTGCTTTTCAGCGAGCTCCAGCAGCGCTTTGCCATTTCCAACAAAAGCCGTCAGTGCCCTCACACAACGAGCGGCAGTCCACTCTGGCCCTTCAGCCATTTTCCTTGTGGAATGTGTCTCTGGGTTTTTTTTTTTAAAGAGATATGCAACCAGCGCCCACAGTTCAGTCGATGCGTCAAGCTGATTTTTTAAATGCTTGATAAAAATGATAATGTGCTAGATTTGTTTGAAAATGAAAAACAGGGGCTGTACTTCCGATATATTTCTCTCCATTTGAAATATTCCAAAAGACAAAATCCTTTTCAGCCACAATATTGGTTTCAAAGCAAAATTAGATAACTTTTGTTGTTTTTGTCATTGTTTTTTCGTTTTTGTCATTGTGTTAGCACTGAACAGAAAGCTAGCGTTTCAACCATTATGCTAGCAAATAAGAGACTTACTAGCTAATGGGCTAGTTGTAACATCATAGATTTTATTTTTCTTAAAGAATTCTTTACACTGACTTTTAAGGTCAATTTACCAAATCAAATAGGCAATTTCAGTGTAGCATTATATTATGCTGTCTAAAAGCTCTCTTTTTTAATGCAAATTTAATTAGGCACAACTGAGCACACCAGAACGCAATTACTTATTTGTTTAGCTGGATTCCCTAAATCACAACTACATCAATATTAAAAGTATAAAGTGTAAACTGTGCATGATTTTTTTCCAAGACTAACTATATTTTATGAAAGGGTTCAGAATATTTGAATGAATGGAAACAGGAAGGACTGAAGGTAGAATTTTCTAAAGGACAATGAACCACAAAGCTTGTTCAAATCAAGCTTTGAATTTAAATGTACAAGGAGAACGGCCTTGAGACGGATGAGTTTATTTCCACAAAAACCAGAAGGCAAAAAGTTTTAAATTTCGTATTTTCTTCATACAACATTGTATTGGTGCATTAAATGTGGAATTAACCCTCTAAAAACAGACCTGTGTCTGTAAACCAGGTTGAAAATGATTTCAAGTTTGCTGCTGTACACCATATTGTTGTGGAATCATAATAGAACGATTCTATCAGCAAGACAGACAAAACTCCAGCCTCTGCTCCCTGCTTTCTCCGCATTTAGCAGATTGCTAAGCAAACTCAGAACATCTGAATCACTATTTTTGTAGTTTTCGTTCATTTTTTTCATTCTCATCAAGGCTATGCAGCTGGCTCCTGATTTAAGGGCAGCAAGTGCTCTCTGCAACTGAATGTAGAAAAAGGGGAAGGTTACTTTCATTTTCGTAGTTTGAAAAAGTAGAAGTGTGTGTTTTTATAGCTGCCCTGATATAGGGCTCAAAACAAACATCGTCTTATGTTATGGATGAGACGCTGAACACAAAGGCAGCATTTTTCATTTTATTTATATGAATCTCACATGCACCAGGTTTCTTGTCACAGTGGTTAAAGCTTTAATCAACCGACTCCATCGCCAGATCTCGCTGCTCTTGATATCCGTCCTCGTGCACTTCCTGGTATTTGCTGTCCACCGTGTGGTTCTCCTCTGGCCCCTGGTTGTCCTCAGAGAGTCCATGTGATTGGCTGGTGCCTGTTTCTGTAGGTACAACATGAGATATCGTGAAAGAGCCGGCGATCTCCTTCAGAAGAGCCTGCTCAGCCTTCAGTTTGGACAGTGTCTCCATCAGTGGCGTCGTGGGCGTTGATGCCTCCTCAGGGGTCGGGGTTGCAGGGTTTTGGACTGGGTGATTCTCTTTTGGGTCTTTGGGGGCTTCCTGAACCTCGGTGCTTCCCTCCGGTGTTGGCTCAGCAGTGTTTGTGTCTGGTTGTGCGCCCTGAACCTTCTCATAGAGACTCTTCCTTTCCCCTTGCAAAGCCCTGCACAGATTCTCAAGCTTCTGGTTCTTGAGGCTGAGAAGCTCGAACTCCTTTTCCTTAATTGCTTTCTGCAAAGGACATAAACGCATCAGTTACGGCCATTTCTAGTAAGCAGATTGCCTGGGGAATAGATTTTCATAAAACAAAAAAAAGCTTGTGTAGATATCTTTCCCTTACATCAGCCACCATGTCTATGAGGCTCTTGTTGCACCCATCAAAACGACTCTTCCAAGACTGACACTCTTTGTCCAGCTTTTTCATTTTCTTTGCCATCTGAACAATTCAGAAAACACCATGTCACACAGAACACACTCGGAAATAAAAGTTACTGCAATACAAGTGGGGAACTATAGTAGCCAGTGTCACAAATCCGACAGTGGAACGTCTCTTACTTTGTCCATGTCCTGTTTGAAGCCGCTATAGACACTGTTGCTCTTTGACACCGTGCCCTGGAATTCATCAAACTTCTTGGAGTACATGTCGAGCTGAGGAGACGCGGGGACAAAACCTTATCAACAAATCAACAAAAAAGCAGACTGACAAACCAGAGTTTCGTCACGTTGAGCCCTTACTCTACCTGGCTTTTCATATCAGTTTCTTGCTCCTTCATGAGCTTCACCTGAAGTTTACTCTCTGCCGCCTGTTTAAGCAGCTGTGGGGTGTTGAAATGTTCAATAAGACTGAGCACCAGGAGATTATCATTTGCAAATGTGTTACCAAAGCACTCGTGGTGCTCAGCAAAACTGATATACAAAGCATACATGCTCTTTCTCCAGCCTGTGCCTCTCCTCTGCCTCCTTCAGGATCATATTGGCCTGCGTGAGTTTGGTTTCCAGCAGCTTCTCCTTCAGGTCTCTGTGCTTGAACACTTTTTCCAGGTTCTGGAAGACATTCGGGGGGGAAATTTATGAGTCGGTTTCATACAGAGAGCTGTTTCATTTCTTGCTCAAAGAGCTTTGGCCGAGCTACTGTATCTAATAGATGTAAGACCAGAGTGAAATCTAGAAAATAAATCATGGGAACAGATGTGAGGGGGCTTGCATAATCACATCAGCCCATCCAGTGAGCTGGACTCCCACTCATGTTGAGTCAAAGGTACAAATTGACCTTCCCGAGCCTGGCTATGGCTGGATGCCTGCTCTGTGGCCGTGTGTGCCTGGTGTGTGGCAGAGGCTCCTTACCGCCTCTCGCTGGTCGTACTGGGAAATGAGTCCCTTAAGCTTCTCAGCGAGAGCGCTGTTCTCCTGACACAGCTTGGTGTTGCGACTGCTGTGTTCCTCGATTTGGGCCTGAATCTCACTGAGCGTTCCCTGGAAATGGGTGGTGATCTCTTTCCTCTTGAGGTCGTCCTCTCTGCACCTCTGCAGCGTCTCCTCCTGCAATTCAAGCACGCGTTTTATTGCTCAAAACGCCGATTCTCCATGACTCCTTTCTCATTACATTGCTCTGTTTCTCATCACCACAATCTCTGGTGATCACTGAAAAGATGTAATATTTTCCAAGCTAGTTCACGATGTCATTGGGGAAGCAATGAATCATCGATTTGAACATCCTGAACTGTGCGTCAGTGTTTAGATTTCCATATTTTATTTGACGAATTACAGAAAAACTGACGCATTCACATTTGACATGTATGCAAAGCTTTGTAGACTGCAGAGTTTTAAGTAAGCTTGTCCTGATCTGAATAGCATAAGGTTCACACCAGGAGATGTGGGTGTGACAATGTTTCAGAGGTAAGATCTCGAGCTTTGACGCAATGGCTGATCTGTTTTTGTGCGCACTGATGTCATGTCCCGTAGAGACAAACATATGGTGACGCCAACTGGCCCTCAAATAACCACCACGTTTGTCCGGTAAAATCGAATGCTGGGGGAAACTGGAACCGAGAGTACCTTTAAAGTCTTGTTGTGTCTCTGCAGCTCTCTGCAGAGTCCCTCCAGTTTGCTGCGGGCCAGCACAGCCCGGCTGTGCTCGCTCTGTAGCTGGTCCTTCTCTTTCATGACTTGGAGCAGCTTCTTCTGCAGAACCTTCATCTGCTTCTGATCGCTGCGGTGCTCCTCCAGCTGCAGGGGCACGCCCCAAAAACGTGAGGATATCATCTCAGTCTGGGAGCGTTTTCAAACATCGACGGTTCACTCACCAGCTCAGCGTGCTTCTTGATTATGGCCTCTAGTTTCTGCTCTGGAGTGTCAAGTTTGTTTAAACTTTGCATCAGTAGCATGGCTTCCTTCCCTAAAGAGATCATTTCAAGTTAAACGTCATCTGTCTGTGTTGACCCTCAAGGAATTCTTTAACACCCTAATGAGTATGTGCCTCCAAATCTTCTGGGCATCTGACAGAATGCATAAAAGGCACATGGAAACACAACTCTACCTGATGCATGCGCTCTGCTTACAAAGCTACAACTTGGACTTCCTGACTGAGCTCAAACCTGTAAGTCAAGTCAATTAAGCATTAAGCATCAATTAAACAAACAAAAACTAAAAACCTAGATTTTTGAGCATCTTCTTCTCCAGTTTCTGGTCCTTGCGGGCA